ATAGAGGTTTACCTTGAAGATAAAATGAAAATTTGTAACCAAATAGAGAGAAATAATGAGAGTTAAAAGAGTAATTATTATAGGGAATATGAATAGGTTGAAACAACATAATTAAAAGGTCTTAAATGTGAATATTAAAAATCAAAAACAAATATTGAGGTAGGAAAAGCTTGAAAAAAGGAGAAAAAAAAATAAAACATTTTCTTGTTTTGAGAAGAGGCCACATCATTACATGTGGTTTCTTCTTTAATATATATATAGATTTGTTATTAAGTCGATTATGAAACGTCCCAAAAAATATACATATATAGACATATTTATGATTTATATAATTCTATATTGTAAAAATTACCAAAATAAATAAATGTATTAGGTGGAACGAAACTCCCTAAGTTGAGAGAAATCGTGTAGGGAACAAGATCAATTGAATGCAGATTTACGAGTTTAAGTTGATAATTCAAGGTACATTTTATGTCAATCTTGCAATATACTTATGGATTGCTCACTAAATGCTTATCAAGTAAACGTTTACCTAAAAAAGTCATCATTCTCATTTACCTTAACGGGTCACATTATCGGTTATCAAAATGAATTGTTAGTAACATCTTGTATTCGATGAGTGCTAACTGGGTAAAGTCTTCTCTCTTACTTACCGGGTAAAATTCTCGGTCATTGTCATGTTCACCAGGTAAAAGTTTGGTTTATGGCCCTTACTTACAATGTAAAAACGTTTGATAGTGATTTCGAGATGTAAATGTGGAACCAAAGTCACTGATTTGGATTTGGCCATCGTACATGGATTATGTTTAAACTTGGAATCCAAACTCATTTTTAGACATGGTCCTAAACAACTTATTCTGGCCTCATTATGGCTCATTATAGCAACACCCATGTGTCTCCATTCTAAAGATTGACTTCCATTGTAACACGCTATGGCATGTTATCACATGTTATTTTGTAAGGAATGTGTTTTTTTAGTTTTTTAAACATATAACTTAGAGGAGAAATTACTATGGTTATGATTTCTTTTAAGAGAGATTATTACTAGGAAAGATTGAATCAAAATGTTTTTTTAATTATCTTAAATAAGAGGGAAGCAAATTATACCTGTTTTTTAAGATTTGACATTTTTTGTCGTGACACTTTTGGAAACAGATGTTGAGCTTTCAAAATTTCTTTTTTTTGAAGCACGCACCCAGTTCAATGAGATGGGTCATAAAGCATACATTTGTTTATTCTTCTAGTCTGTTTTCTGACAAGCTTATGAGATCATTCCAAATTTGTCCTTCAACAATCATTCCCATTTCTTTTCTTTGAGAATATTTTGATTTCTTTCTTTTGAGCTTTTCACTTAGACTGTGATCTATTAGCTTCTTATCAACAAAGTTAGAGACAATAGAAACTTCTAAAGAAACAGAAGGATTTGATTTAATAGAAGTTACAATATGTTGTAAGATGACTTTTTCTATTCTCAAAAGTTGCATTTTTCTTTTGATTTATTTTGAAAAATGATCATTTTGATAATCTTCCTTTGGATCTTCGGTGAAATGTACTTTTCTAGCAACTTTATTAAAAATTTAAGTTACCAAGGAGAGAGACTCACCAATGTTTTGCAAGGTTATTTTATTTATACAACTATTGAGTTCATTTGAATCAATAGAAACATCTCCGTACAATTCATCTGAATATGTGTCATATGTAGGAAGTGATGTAGATCCTGACTTTCAAATGAAAAAAAAAATTGTTTTAACCCTAACCTTATGTTCTTGAGTATTCTTTTACGTAGGAAAGATAGAAAAGTAATGGGGGAAGAAAAATATTTTGTTCTCGAGATTTTTTTAGGGAAAGGAAAAAAATTATATCAAAATTTATTTTTATTTCATTATTTTTCTTTCCTCTCTCTTTTTTATAAAAAATACAAATAAATTTTTTTTCTTCCTTTCTCATTCTTTTCTTTCATTTCCAAATTCGAAAACATAATATAAAAGTTTAAAATGGTGTTAATCTTCTCAAATTAAAAAACATACTATAAAAGTTTAAAATAATGTTAAAAAACATTAACATGAGATGACATGAAAAACCAACTTATTTACATTGATTTACATAACGTCACTCGGAAATCAGAAGAATCCACTTTGTGACCTCAAATGATGTCATTCTATGTACTAAAAGTATATCATATGATGTTTTTGATGATGAAACAAAATTACCAATATCTAGTAGATAATATTAATTTAGAAATGAGTATTGATTAACTTTACGTCCAGAAATACTCGGAAAAACGGTTTTATATGAATTCAATAATATTTCTGATGATAAAAACAATATATTGAAAAAATATCGTACTTATCGAAGGCCCCTTTTTACATCTCGTCCATGGCCTAAAAAATGTCAGGAACAGACCTGTAAACAATCGTACAAATTACATTATGTTAATTTGAAATTAAATAAATCGATTGAGATGGTTGCTATTTCAAGTTAAATTGTTCCTCTCCCTATAAATTAGAAAAATTACAAACTTTAGGTTTTTCAAGCAATTAATAATATAATTCCTAAGGAAAATTAATAATATTTGAATATTAGACTTTTTAAAACCAAATCTAAGCCTTTTCAAGTAGACCTATTTTTATGTGTCAATTAGTAGTCATATATCATGTGCAACGCACAACATCCGAAGTCCTGTGAATTGACATTAATTGCGCTTATTAGGTGTCTTAATTATTGTTTGATTGTACAACGCATTTTTCTAGTTATGTCTACATGAGATCTTGATCAAATCCTAATACGACTTCATGATTTCTTCATCACCCTTTGATGCAATCACCCAGCTGTCACCTCACCTAAAGTTGATAACATTCATTAGGAGCACCGATGAATTTGATCGTATTTATAGTTCAACTTCCAATTGCATGTGTATACCTAAACAGAAAGCAAAACCCTATTGGGGTGTATCCCAAATCTATTGATATCTATTTAGGCCCCTTTAGCCTTTTAGCTACACTTTGGACATCTAAACAGACTTGAATCAAGATGTAAAGCAATTATAGATTAGGAAATATTTATATGGTTTCAAGTGCTAGTAACACGTCACTTCGACTCATGTTGATGTTGAGCCACAAATTAACATGTTTGAGTCAATAAGACCTGACTCGCCCTTCACTACCCTATTGAAACAATGATCTAGTGAACAACCTTCACTAGGTTATTTGTAATACTAAGCGGCCATGTTTTCGTGAAACCTTGGCTTGTGTAAAGTATGTGGAAGAGAGAAAGGTGGATGATGGCAAAAAAAACTAGTCAAAAGCAAGTAATAACATGCAAACGGAAACAATTAGGAGAGAAACATAAACATGATTCGTCTAACTCACTCACCCCGTCTCCCACCCTCTACCGCTCCGGCTCTCTTCTACTTGTCTATGTCTATGCTAGTTGTAGATCCTCACATTTAGTCAGTTATCCTAGTCCTCTTCCTACTTCTATCAGAAGTTATCCACAGAAATATCTAAAACCACCATGCATGTCCAGTCATTCTGGTCTTTGTGGTATACATACACCTGCCACGTGTCTTCTTGTTAATGAGCATGAGCACGAACAACAGGGGGAGAATTAGACAAGGATCATGCCCATTTATTCTTTCTCAATTATGACTTGTGATTTTCACATTTCTTCTATGATTATGGTTCTCATCAGATTCTTCCAGGCATTGGTGTTTTGTTTCTTTCATTCCAATCGAACCACATTATTGGCCCATGTGATACAAAGTGATCTAGCTACTAGCTAGTGAAGGGATTAAATAAAGTTGTACACACACATATATCTATATATATACTGAGAGTTGTCCATTGATGCTTTTGTTAGGGTCCGAAATATATATATATATATATACTGTGAGTTGTCCGTTGATGCTTTTGTTAGGGGCTGAATTTCGAATGAGATATAGGGATCGGATAGAACTCAAGAATTGTGTCAGAAGGCACTTTCTGAATTAAATAATTCGACCCTATTAGCCTTAGGTTCACCAATTTCGTATTAGGATAATTCTTGAGATTATTCTCTTTTCCAAAGACTCTGAAATCGAGACCTATCTACTCATATTCTCGTTTTACATATTTAAATGAAAATCGACGGTTATTGACGGCTTAACGGTTATAACCGTTAATGGATAAAGTCAAAAAGCAGTTACAACCGACTCTGGAATTCTGAGAATAGGTTTTGTGTTAAGTTGAAGACACGTTCAGCGATAAGCTAAAGACTTGTTCGGCGATAGCTGAAGACCACCTCCCCTTGGAACCCCGCAAGGGGGGGGGCCCCTTGACCCCGTGCTTTATGGCGATTTAAGATGATAAAGTCAATATTTGTAACTATACATTCCACACCTCCTAACTTACGTATGTTCGTCTCATCGCTTTAATCGATCTCGTATAAATCAAAATTATACCAAAATACTTGTTTGACACTAAAATAATCTAACATTTTAAGTGAAGATATAGTTTTCCATTCAGAAATCACAAGCAAATCTCGCTCATTGTGTTAAAATATATCAGAAACCTCGATGGATCGTAGATAACATATATAATAAGAATTAAATTATACAAAAAAGTAAAATTACAGTGTATTATATATGCTCACTATCTTCCCCTCAACAAAGCCTTCTCCGCCGACTCCATCTCTTCTAGTATTCTTGTCTTCCTCTTTGCCGGAATCGGAGAGGTGGGACCAAAATTAACGTAATGGCCGGAAACAGCGTTCAGGGCGGAGTAAATATCCCGGAAAGATATCCGTCCCAAGAGGGCCTTTTCTCTCCGGTACTTGGCCACCCAGGAGTTGGAGGTTTCTCTTAGCTCAGCCACCGCAGTTGCTATGTTGGGATCGGTTTTATCCATGTTGATTGTGTTCCTGACCTTGCTGATCACCTCCTGTGTCTCTTTTACGTATTCATCATCGGAAGCAGCCAATGCTGCCGGAATAACAAGTAGCGGGGAGGAAAGGGTTACAATGGCAGTCAATGATAGGAAGTTGCGGCGGTGGGTGGTGGCTGTGTTAGCGGTGGCGGTGGTGGTGGAAAGAGAGGGTGTGGTGTGCTTGGAACGAATGGGTGGAAGAAGGGGCTTAGGGGCGGAAGTTGTAGGGGTGATCAAGGCCATGGCGGTGGTGGAGGAGGAGAGTGAGAGATGAAATTGTTGGTAAGTATTGATGGAGGTGTGGTTTGATGGGCTTATCGTCTTATCTGGTGTTTCATAGTTTATGGATGAGAAAGTGTTGTTCCAGATTGTGTATAGGATGATGTGGCAAGAAGAAGAGGTGGATAGGGACTTTGACCATCTCATGGCTAACAACACTGGTACATACCACAATTCCTTTAGTACAACTAACTTATGCTCATCACTCTATTTTATTTTTAACTTATTTCAGTTTGAATAGATGATAAGTTGTTTTCATTGTTTGGATAAGAAAAATCAAATAAGTTAATAAGCAATCTCAAACATTCTCGTAAGTCAATAATATGGAAGACTGTCATTTTTGGTCATTTTACATATATAAGCAAAATTTGTCAAACACTAAAAAATAACTTATCAGCTTATTGTTTTTTGGTACCGTTATAAGCTAATCCAAACACTTTTTACAAAACTCCGGTTTGTTACCACATAAGTTAATAAGTACTTTTACAAAAAAAACATAAGTTATTTTAAATAAGTAATCCCAGACACCCTCTTATTACTCTACCCATTTACAACTCTACACGTTTAAGGTGGATCAAACTGTATACAAATTCATTCGTTATGTTTTTATTTGAGTTCCAAGGTATTTTTCAAGTTTTTTTGGTTGATTTTTTATGATATCCTTAAGTTTTTTGATTGAATTTTGAGAGATTTTTTCGGTTTTTTGGTTGATTTTGAGATATTTTTTTTTCAATTTTTTTGATTGACGTTCTTTATATTTTCTAATATATCGAAGCATCCCTCAAAATTTAACGACCATACCTTTCATATCTCAAAAAAAAATCCTACATACAAAATAAGTTGAACAGATACACGAGAGTCTGCTCGAAAATCTTTTAATTCTATATAACATTCCAAATATGGGATTTATAATTTTATCTGGAGTTTAGTTTGTAAAACACTTTTAGAATTGAACTATGTCAAATTTTTTTGAAAAAGAAGGTCTTATCATGCGTTTGATTAGCAGGAGTTTGAATAAATTTTTTTTGCTTGATTCATAGAATGTAGTTTTAAAATTGAATTAAAAATGACGAGAAATAACTACACACAAAAGGTTATCCAATTAATGAATTATAGTTGAGATTCACATGTCTAAGAAACATGAGACATAAATAATCGATCAGAAACATTGATACGATGATGTTGGGAAATACTGCACTACAAGAGATAAAACAAATTACAATACAAAATCTGTCCTTTATCAACCTCAGAAACCGTAAATGAAGAAATTTGTTAATGTCTGTGATAAACACATATTCGTCATCTCTTTCTTACTAGGGACTTATGGACGTCTATTTTTCAGGATAAAACAAGAAAAAGTTTCATTTGTATTTTTCAATATCTCAAAGTAGGGACAAAACCTTTTTTTTTTATTAACCTATATATCCAACACGCTATGCGAGCCGACTAATCCCAGGACGACCACCTGCTTTGCAAATAGTTCGGAGTCATCGCATTTGAACCTCCGTGGCCACAAGGGGATTTTTATTCATCATTGAATTTGAACTTGTGACCTCCTGGTACTTTTGACCTTTGGAGTCAAGCTCAAACCAATCAGACACCACCCTTGTGGTTAAAACCTTATATTTATTATATAAGTAAGGAGTAATGATATGGACACTCGTTTATGATAATTAAATTCAAATTTTAATTAAAAGAATTCATGACAATTTAATTTAGAATGAATTTAAATAAGATTAATGTGTTAAATTTGTGTCACTCATTTTTACAACAAAAACACGTTAACTTTGTAAATAGGAATTGTGAAAGTATAAGTACGATGTAGAGATGGCCAAAAACCTGTCCCGGGTCAGTCTTAATCGGTCCTAAACTTTCTCATAACCGACCATAACCGGTCCCCCCGTAACCGGTCCCGGTCGAAAATGATAGGACCGGTCAAGGTACTTCATAACCGGTTATGGGCCGCTGGTCCCGGTCCCAACCGGTCCTTGCATTAAAAAATAAGATTTGTTTTTTGATTTTTTTAATGATATATATTTTTAATACATTGTAAAATTTACAATTGGGTCACTCAAATACACTTTAAAAATGCGTAATTTTAATATAAAATTATGTTTTCTTATAAAAATACATTATAAAATTATTTAAAAATACATTTATTTATAAAATTATTTGAATTTTCGGGTCGGGCCGGGCCGGTCCATAGTCGGTCCCATAACCGGTCCCGATCCCACGAAACTACCAAAAACCTCAACCGGTCCCAGTTTTCAGTCCCATAACCGGTCCTTACTGGCCCCGGTCCCGGTCCTCCAGCGGTACCGGGCCGGGTCGGGCCGATTTGGCCATCTCTAGTACGGAGTGTAAAATCACTAAATTGATGAGATTTAATCTTTTTGAAGCAATGCATTATAAAGAAAACAAAAAAGTAAATGTAGAAACAACCCACCCAAACAAATAGCCCACGGCCTGCTCTCCAACGGCCCACCCACAGCTCCCTTCTCACTTCTCATGAGAGGCCTACTTCTCTTTTCCAATCAAATAGCTCACATAAACCCATATCCTTTTTTTTTCTTTAAATTCCTAAAACGCAATCACCCTCTTTTATCTTATCGTGTAATATTATTGATTATTAAAATGAATTATTTGTAAGCGTCTTTTACTCAATGAATGTTTATTGGATGAGGGATTTCTCACTCACTTACCAATTAAGATTCTTGGTCTTTGCTATACCTTTTACAGGGCTAAGATTTTCAATCATTTTCATGTTTACTCGGTAAAGTAAGTGACGCACAATAAGCGCTTATCTAGTAAGCATTTGGTAGACAATTCTAAAGTTACTATACACTTACCGTCTCTTAGTTGGTAACCAAACATTTATTGTCTTTTATCAGGTGAGCAAAGCTTATTTGGTAAGAGATGACGGTTTTTACCAACAATCTTACTGTGTCATTTTGTTCATTGAGAATCTTACTCTGTAAATGAGGATGATGACTTTTACTCGTTTAGAGCTTATCATATAATAGACACTTATATTATGTTAATTTGATGACCGGGAATCTTACCCGGTAAAACAAGTGAGAACGTTGACTCATACCCTACTTACCTAGTTTGTGTTGATAAACTGTGCATAAGACCCTCTATGTTAAACCTCAAGTTGAAAAGACCAAAACACCCTCACCCAATTTCAGGTTGCTTTTTCTTGGTTCGTGTTGTTGTTGTGTTGGCTTTACTCGTTGTTCTTATTCCTCATTTTGCTTTCAATACCTCATTGAAAGCTTACAATACCCACTTGTTGCATCATTTTCATGTTTAAGACCTTGACACCTGCACAAATATAAACATACAATACCAATATATCGACATCCCTTAATATTGAGTAAAAATGCATGATTTGTCTCAACAAATTATAAGTTTTACAACGCTATCGAACACACAAACCAACCTGGAGAAAACTAATGTTTATGCTCGATAAATGGGTGATCGTAAAATGAACTAACAAATATTAGTAAATCACAAAAATGCTTGAATGAATCCAACGGGCCGGACAGCCACTAATGAAGCTCAGTTAAAAGAAAAAGTCACCAACATATGAAAATTATCACAAAACGATATACCCTCTAATAAGTTCGATGTCATATAATCACTACAGATCGTAATTCTTCATATGTGAATCTTGCAACTAACTTTTTTTTATAAAAAAAAAATACAAAATCAAAGTTGTTTGCTAACTTTAATCATTCAATTTTGGATCTATCTGCTTACCAAAAGAAGGGTCTATCCTTCTTTGGCATAAACCATCATCAAAAAGAGTGAAAACAACAGTGCAAAGCTTCATTTTTTTATTTCCAAAAACTAAAGTAGCAAATACAATATTGCCAAAGTTGATAGTAACTACTTTGGATTCTTGCTTGTTTTCGTTTACTTGAAATACAGTGAAATACAGTGAATGCAGACGTTTTTTTTTATAAAACACACGAGTATATGATGTTGGTTATTAAAGATTTGGTTCAAGTCAATTCGGCCTCTATAATTACCTTCATGTACTCTAATTTTTTATTTCAATTATATTTTCTCGTTTGTTTCTTTTAGGAAAAATACAATAATTTTAAAATGGTTTATGGAAAAAGTTAAATGGAGATGGCCCCATACCACAGACCATGCTCATGACTCAAGAAGAGACGATGAACTAGAAAGTACTTCAATTATGATTGTTATAAGTTAATTATTGTTTTTATCAAATTATAGAAAAATAGTAGTGTTTTACAGTGAAGAGCATTTCAGACAGATTATGGAATCTCCGTACTCTTTCTCCAGCAATTTTCGAAGAAGAAGAAAAATAATAGTGTTTTACAATTATACTCTCCTACTAGAAGTGTCGTATGTCAGAATTACAATTACTTATTTCAAAAATGTCTAGAATCTCTTGATGATATATCGTTAGTGAAACAGAAAACTCTCGTTTGCCAATTGCATTGCTTCTACCTCGCGGATATAATGTATCGTCACACAAAATCTTACAATTTTAACATATCATAGCGGACAGTTTATCGATTTTATAAACCCTCCCTTTTTCTTTTCATTCTATTTTTAACCAAAAGTGATGTGTCTTGTAAGTCAATACCATTTGCCTTTATTATTATTTTTTCCTAACATCCACTTTATTACAACAGTTTCTTGTCCTTTTAAAATTAGTTGGGCTATTTTCTTATTTCTTTGATCAAAGCAAATAAGATAAAGTTAACAATTTCATGATCAGTTTCTGGTTACGTTCTTGTCAGGGCCGTTCCTAGGAGGGCAAGTCGGGTATATGTCCAGGGCCTATAAGAAAGAGAGGCCCATTTTTTTATATATATTATATATTATTATAGTAGTTCAAAAAATTAATAAATAAAAGAAAAGAATTAGTATTTAATATGGTTCAAAAAAAAAAATTAGAATATAATAGATTAATTACATTGGAGAAGAAAATATATATAAAAAATTAATTGGTTGTTCATTGTATAGTATTGTGTATTGTTTCTCTAAGAATTTATCTATTACTAAAATCTAAAATTACCTTGTCTACACAATATTGATATATTTTTCATCATTCATCTCCCCACTGACTCTTTAAATTATTTCATTCACATGAATTCTATTTTTGTATTAGAATATAATAGATTTCTTGTTATTAATTAAGAAAATTCCTACATTTTGAAAAAGTTATCAACAATATGAGATTATCCAACTTATATCCATATTCAGAGTTTTAAAACTACTATTGTCTTTGCATACATTATTAACTCCTGATCACCTAATATTGGGTGCATGAATCTTAATTAATATTCTATCTCTGAAACAACAATAAGATCTTAAACTATAATCAGGATTGACTTTTGATTCTTAATTGATGGTTCCTTAAAAAATGTTTTGTAATAACGGGGTACTCAGATATAAAAATTCGGAGTGATTTTGAAAGGTGATGGTAAGTGGAGGGGCTTAATGTGTTAATGTGCTTAAAATATTATTATATATGAGATATTTGTCTTATCTCATGAGTGAATGTGATTAATTATTTTAAAAACTTTCACGGCCTTATTGTTTTAAAAATAGTATTATTATAAGATAAGTGTCTATAATCTCATTGGGGATGTGGATGAAGTAGATAAGAAGAATAAGAAAGCTTTTATTGTGTGTGTGCTCTTGTATGAAAAAGAAAACAGACTTGTAAAGGGAGAAGAAGAAAAGCTGATTCTGGGATTTTTGTTTGAAATCTTGTTGTTGTGTCAATTCATCTTCATCTACGTTAAAATAAGGTGAGTTTAGTTTATTAACTTTCCTTATTTGGTATTTGGAATTTGAACCGTATGATTCTTACATGAGGATGATGATAAAACTGTTTTTGGATGCTATTTGAGCATGATGATGAAACTTGGAATAGAACCATATGGTTCTTTATATGAGTTACTGTTATGAAGCTGTTTTGATACTATTATTTGCAAAATGGTGGCTTTTATCATGATTATATCATGTGATGTAATAAAGGTGGCATAGTCAGTAGCTAGGTAAATTTGTAATAAGAGTGTCATAATCAGAAGCATGGTAAATTTGTAATAAGGATAACATAATCAGGAGCTGGGTAAATTTGTGATAAGGGTCGCATAATCAATTTATGGAAATGATGATCTTTTTTATCATGGGATTTTGTTATCGCATTCTTAAGATGCGATGATCATGAGTTATCACATATGTGTAATGCGAGGACTTGGGTTATCCTATCCTATTGATGTCATGAAATGATTTGTTTTAAAGGAACCAGAGGGGGTCTGGTTGTCCAAAGAGCCTCTAGTTGGAGTGGTTTCTGGATGGATTTACTTTTGGTTATTATTTGAACCTTGGAAAATATTCCAATGCATGTTAAAGGAACCAAAGGGGATCTGGTTGATCTTCATATTTAACCAAAGGGTTTCTGGTTGTAATTGGAACTCATTCTTTAAGTATTCTTGACCTAGAGGTTCTGGATAGACGAACCATAGACTCTGGTTGGCCAGAGGGGGGGCTTTGGTTGGTAAGACCAGAGGGCCTCTGGTTGACCCTTGCTTCTGGTTGACCTTGTCTTTTTTATGTTGGCCTTACTTCTGGGGCTAAGTAAGAGACCCAGAGGCTTTGTATGTACTATACAGAGGCTTTGTGTCTAGGAGTGGAGCTTTGTATCCGAGTACTTGGCTATTTGCGTACAAGACTTCGATCTTCATACCCTATGTGTCCGAGCTTTGTATCTGAGCTCTTGGTTCCAGGCCTTGCTTTTGGGTTGGCCTTGCTTTTAGATTGATGAGTCTAGAGGGGCTCTAGTCCTTAAGGACTAGAGGAGCTCTGGTTGTTCTTGCTCTGTATGAGGCAAGTTTTATCTCTAAAGTATAACTCTGAAGATTAACTCTTCAGACTTATAACTATTAAGTGCAACTCTAAAGTATAATTCTAAAGAATGACTCATCAGATTTAAAACTCTGAAATAGAACCCCGAAGTCTGAAGTCTTTATTTTCAGACTTAGCCAACCCGAAGTCTGAAGTCTTCATTTTCAGACTTAGCCAACCCGAAGTCTGAAGTCTTCATTTTCAGACTTAGCCAACCCGAAGTCTGAAGTCTTCATTTTCAGACTTAGACAACCTAAAGTCTTTAGTCTTCATTTTCAGACTTCCATACTTGGCTCAAATTGCTTTAATAAATCTTTCATGATATTTAGGACAAATTTGGTCCTAACAGTTTGTATTACAATATGAATTTATAACTTGATTTGGTGATTTTTCACCCTGTAATTACTTTAAAAGGATTTCTCTCTAGACCTCAAGGTCTAACCCTGGTTTTGTGTTTCAAAAATGTACATTACAGGTCGGGCTCAATCTAAGGATAATGGAAAGGGAAAATTATGAGATGTTATATATGTTTACGTGGGATGTGGAGAAGAACATGCTTATCTGTGATTTTTTTTGAAATACTTGTTATATATACAAATTATGTAAAGGGATGTTGTGGAAAAATCTGGTAGCTACTTTTATAATGTAGTTTTTTTTGTGTATATTTGAGACCGAATATGTATATTTGTATTATTTGATATATGACATACTTGGTTATATGCAAATGTGATTCAGGTCAGGGGCGTTACATATTTAACTCTAAAAGTTTAAAATGGCGATACATTAACATGATGTGACATGCAACCCAAATTGATTTATATTGATCTATTTAAAATGTTACTTTGAATTGTGACCCAAATGATGCCAATCTATATACTAAGGGGTATCATAGAAGATGTTTGGCAGTGAAACGAATTTATGATGCTTTACAAAAATGATATAATGGATAATATTAATTTAGAAGTAATTATTGATTGATTTTGCATCTACGTTTACTCGGAAAAACGATTTTATATGAATTATTAGTATTTTCTAAATCCAATGTTATTTCTGATGATAAAAACAATATAGTGATTTTTTTTGTATTTATCGAGGTCCTCTTTTTATATCTTGTCCAAGGCCTATAAAAAATTATAAATAGGCATGGTCATTATTTCTTATATCTGTCGTTACAAGTGAATAACAAATATTCAATGTAATATTTGTCTGTGTGTTTATGTTCATCGTCAATTCCACCATCATTTCTCTCTTCTTCTTTATGCAACGGGGAATTACGGAAAGGTTGACAAACGTCTAAACCCTTAAAAAATATCGAGTCTACAAATATAGCATTCGAAAAATTAAGAAAAAGCTCTAAAAAGATTTAATTTATTGATCAATAATCTGAATATTTAATTAAAACAATAAAACTATTTATAGACTAAATTAACTAAGAGATAATTATGGAATTAAATTCAAATCCATTGATTTAAATAATATAAGATAAAAGGCATGAAAGGGTTTATGGTGGAAACATGAAACGATCAACATATGGTGGCCCAAGTGTGTGCGGACAACTAGCCGCACAGTTGGTCGATGAATTCTCCTACCATGGCATCAAGTGGGTTGCATGGTCTGCCAAGCGACTTAAGTCGCATTGAGTTTCGTGAGCAATACTGTTTGGATTATGTTCTTGTCTGATCTGCTTCTTGCTTTTACTATCCAACCGCTCTGTATCACCACCATGACCATGGTCGCGACCAATCGACCACTGTCACATTTCCGTCCCTTTCTTTCCTTATGGTGATTTATCCTTTTAGATTTCCTATTTATGTAATTGTACAAACAACTTAAGGTATTTTAGAAAACAAGTCTATTGCTTTATGTTGATTTAAGACCTAGTAAGTTCTAGATTCATAACCAAAAATCCATTTATGAAGTTAGACACATGTCGATTTAATAAATAACAAAACTACTGACAATTGGGAGACTCATTACTTCAATTGCGATAATGAAAAATCAACTACTGCAGCCCCCTGCTTCTTCAGGCGAAACTCCAGGTTGAGGGCAATAAATCAACAAAGCCCAAGGTGATCTCTCTTTTCCCGTGATAGTATCTTGTTTCTAAAAAATAATTAATTAAGAAAAAACCCTTTATGCTTATGTACTGTTTTCATATATCTATTTCCCAACAAAAAGTTATAAAAGTCACAACTAAGATTTGATATTACATTATCAATTACGTACCCAAAACTTCACATATTAACAATATCCTACAGATGGAGCATCAAACGAGAAGAATGTTGAAATAAAAGAACATGAGAATAGTTAAATCACATTCCATTATTGAACACGATCAATGTAAAAGTAAGCAGACGACTTGACCCGCGTTCTTTGATCATCTATAACCATTTATGATTTTACAAGTAAGTTTAACGTAAATCATATATAATTTAACCATTATCTTTGATGATTATTTTCATTTAAATTGCATTATATTTTTGAATAACATATTTGAGAATCTGATAAGTGGCCTAGATATTAAAAAGGGAACACCCTCCAACATGAGGGGCGTGGTTTAAAGTTCCAGAGTAATATCCCATCTCCTCCTCACAACACCATTCATTCATCATTCCACGGCTATTTCCTCCCCATTCCCCTTTCTTTTTAACACTGTAATTAAAGAACCCCACCATCTCCCTTCCCTTACTCATCCCGTTTTTGCACTTAATGCCACCCCCAATCACCAACAATGCTTTCCTTTCCTGCATTTCTTATTTATTACGTCTCTTCTTGAATACCCACATCAATTACAAGGTAACTCACTAAAATTCTATCTTTTTTCCTCTGAACTTTGTTGGTTTCTTGTTTTTGGTTGCTAATTTTGGTGGGGTCATGTTATTTTTGCATTTGAAAGTCCCTTTGTGTGTCTATTGTTTGTTTTGAGTTCGTAAACAGGATTTTGTGTTCTTTTTCTTTTCTTTCTCGAGTCGCTTTATATTTTTGTCGTCATACATACATGATTTGTGGGTTTGATAAATTTACTGGATTTGTTTTATTGTTCTTGATTGGAATTCTCATATGGTACAAGATCTGTTGGTTGCTTGAATTTGTGCTTGATTTTTGAAAGATTAACTCTTGGAAATACTTTGTATTTTGTGTTGGGTAAACAATGCAAGTGTAGGTGAAAAAGGAAAAAAGATTGAACTGTGTACACTTCTGGTAGCATTCCCATTTGTTGGATGTCAGATTAGTTGAAAATATGAAGTTACCAAAAATGAACACATCCCGCTTTCCAGTTTTCCCTTCATGACAGTAAAGAAACTGCATAATTTTTTATCAAGATTGTCATCCAAATTGTTGTTTCTCACTATGTGGACTTTACAACATCAACATCTTTTGAGATTTGATTGAAAGTTACGGCTTTGTGTTTGTAGATGTGAATACAAGATTCACAAAAATTGATCAAAGAATCTTGATATTCTTCTGCTTTATTCATTATCTTGTAGATGTGAATATAAGATTCACTAAAGATTGATTCTTCATCTTTAATGGATTAGTAGCTATGGAGAGAATGATGGTAACATGACAATTATTTATTTGATTATTCAATTATTTCTTACAGAAAGGATTCAATTTGTTCAGTTTTGGTTATCTTTTAACTGGCATGAATAGAAATCAATCATTTCCCAAGCAAAAACAATCTGTCATGCCATGATGGCAGTGTTTCTTGCTATCGAAAATTCTGAGTTCATTACCTGTTTGCCATTGTTATTGATGCTAATCTTGGTTTGTTTAATGTGTTTGGATTGAAAACCATTATTGGATAAGGTTGATCAGTTGACAATTTGCTTAATTATGTGTTCATGAGTTGACAATATCACAGGATTATTTAATCATGTTCTTAGCTTTCCTGTCATCTTCCCAATCAATCTCCACCACCAATTATTAGAGATATATGCATATAAAATTTCCCAGTTATTATATTAAGTAAGATTCTTTTCTAATAACAAATAGCTTATCCTCTCATTGATTTTTGGGATTAGAGAATTAATCTAGTTGTTATGTGTGTATGTAGGCAGGCTGATCATCTGTTCCAAAGGCTGTTGACTTTTGATACTGAATCTTTTATCGGGCATCTAAACCTAATGCTGTCTTGACTGAAAATGGGGTGTTGTGTCTCCACAAGTAGTCAGAGTAGTTGTAGTAGTATGAGCAATGGAGAGATCATTTCTCGTCCATCTTGTTTCGAGATCGTTATGTGTGGTGGCCAAAAGAAAACGAGAAGAATGTTGTCCGACCATGTAAGTGCCTTGCAGAATATGTCGTCCATTCCAAACCGGATTTTTACAAATGGAAAGAGCCAGAGTTCTTGTATATTTACTCAGCAAGGGCGTAAGGGCGTAAATCAGGATGCAATGATTGTGTGGGAAGTAAGTCTTCTGAATAAATATTCTCTTTTTTAGTCTGTTTATAAAATTTTGGCAATTCGTTCTACCATCCGGCTAATATATACAATTTCCAGCATTGCTCAAAAAGTAGGACTAGTGGCAAAGTGGCCTTGCAGCCATGATCCATACAGCCTTGCGTTGCTTAGATTATTAAACAGAAAAACTAGGACTAGTGGGGAAAGTAGTTAGATCATGAGATACAATGGCCAAACAAATACTGTTGCCATGGATTATGTGTTTCATTGCGTCTTAGCTTGTGAATGTGAATCTCTGCAGGATTTCATGGCGGAAGATGTGACTTTCTGTGGAGTATTTGATGGCCACGGACCTCATGGCCATCTTGTTTCTCGTAAAGTTCGTGATACATTACCATTGAAGTTATTTTCTTTTCTTGATTCTTATGAGTCGAAGAAAAACAAGTCTACTGGTTCTATTTGTTGCAGTCTGAATTCTAGATCAGATGGAGCCGATTGTGAGGTGGGAACAGACGATAAAGCAGTCTCGTTATGGAAAGATGCATTTTTGAAATCGTATAAATCGATGGATAAAGAGTTGAGGTCTCATCCCAGTTTGGATTGCTTTTGTAGTGGCAGCACTGCTGTCACCATTGTAAAACAGGTATTGTTCTTCGTCATGTATGCAATTAGATTTTGCATTTCTGGATTTGAGTTTAATGTTTTCGTAATCTCCATAAAACTTTGATTTCAAGGGATCAAATCTTTTCATGGGAAGTATAGGAGATTCACGGGCCATCATGGCGTCCAATGATAGCAACGATTCACTTGTAGCGATTCAGTTAACCGTTGATCTAAAGCCTGACTTACCAAGTAAGATATATACTACCCCTTCCATCTCAATGGTTATTACAATAAAATTTCATTTTAAAGTCACATGATTGCGCGTTTTCAGTTTTACAAATAAATTGATGGTATAGATTTGGGTTCGCTTGATTCCTTTATCGTCAAAGAGTAATGTCTTAGGTGATTAAGCTGTAGAAAGTCACTTGGCCATCACTACAGTAAAATCGGCTTTATAGGAAGTAAAAAATGTTTAAATGTCATAATAGATTGTTTTATAGTACGTCAAAAATGTCTAAATTTTAGGGTGGAGGTGAGGTTATACCCTCCCCGGATGGCGGACCCCACCTCTTTGGGGAATATGCCGGACTCGTTTGTTTTGGTTTATGTAAAGGTGTTAAAAATAGGATGTTAGGATGTACTTGGACATACTTACAAGTTTCAACAGACATTTTTAAAATAAAGTGTTCTATTAGCTATTTCATAGGACTCTCTTGAAAGTGTCTTATGAACATATCTTTGAATAAGACATTTGTTTTAAATAATGTCATATAAAAGGACTAATATGACATTTTATTTAAAAATTGTCCTATAAAACTTGTCAAGACACCCAAAAGCGTCCTATCAACTTAATGTAGCATATTTACATAGCACGCACAATTGGGTGATCCTATAAACTTAAAACTGTCTATTAGGACATTGAGACATTTTTGGCGTCCTATAAAGCCAATTTTGTTGTAACACATACGTCCATCTTTCTAAAATGTTTTGCAGAACTTGGTGAAAGGGTATACTGAATAGTTGAGAAATTGTCGAACTTTCTGTAAATCACATGGCAGTACATGTTTTTTGAGGTTAATATGCAAACGTAATTGTGCTAACTTGTCTTCAATTTCATTCCCTAGGAGAAGCTGAAAGGATTAAACGTTGCAAAGGTCGAGTTTTTGCATTGCAGGATGAACCAGAGGTATCAAGAGTTTGGCTACCGTTTGATGATGCCCCAGGCTTAGCGATGGCACGAGCTTTTGGAGATTTCTGTTTAAAGGAATACGGGGTGATTTCTATTCCTGAATTTTCTCACAGGGTCCTCACTGAGAGAGATAAGTTCATCGTTCTTGCCTCAGATGGGGTACGTGTTATACGTCTATTTTATGCTGACTAAAGATTTTAGTTATGTTTTTATCGTGATCGTTGAATTTCATGATAAATCATCCATTGTGTTTGAGCTTTGATCATTAGACTGAATTCATTGTAGGTTTGGGATGTTTTAAGCAACGAAGAGGTGATCGAGATAGTGTCATCTGTTCCAGCTCGGTCATCAGCGGCAAGAACGGTTGTTGACTCTGCTGCTCGGGAATGGAAGACCAAATACCCGACATCTAGAATGGACGATTGTGCAGTTGTTTGCTTATTTTTCGATGGTAAGATGGATTCTGAATCTGATTGTGAAGAACAAGGTTTCTCTTCTGCAACCCTCCAGAGCAATCAGTCTGGTAATGGAGTTGAATCGGACGATGGCCAGAACTCCGAGCCATTGTTGCAGAGAAACTTTACGGTCAGATCATCAGAAGGGAACAATGATGGTTTGAAAAGAGTTGGTGATGAAGAAGCGGTTGTGGTGGTTGCTGAAGATCACGGTTGGTCAGGATTGGAAGGCGTTACCCGGGTCAACTCGTTGGTCCAGCTTCCAAGATTTTCGGAGGAGACACCAAGGGCATGATTGTTTTGCTTCTTATTTTAGTTATAACTAATGCATCAGTTGTATAATGTTATTGTCTTTGTGGAACGTGAAAGAATCTCTTTCGATTGATGGCATGTGTATCTAGGCCTCGAGTCTAAGGACCGCAAAGGTCCTTTTAGGCCTGGTCAAGTCCTACAGGCGATTATGCTTCAGTGTGAATATGTGGAACTTCGTTAGATTACTCTTTAAAAGAACTCTTGGGAGAGAATAGAGACGGGTCCAAAGGATATTCTTGTGGTTGCACAAACTAAATGGTAGCATCTTTAAGTTAAGGACCATAAACAAAATTACACCACATTTGAAAAATTGTGGTTGCACAGGTGCAAGTTGTCTTTTCTTTAGATGGATTGTTTGACGGGTGTTAAAAGTCTCTGCAGTTATAGACTTTGGCCTTGATACGATATAAGAATATGTGCAACACATTATATTATTTTTTGGAGAAGCTTTTGAGGAGAAAAACGAGGTTCCAAATCTAGCAGAAAAAACTTTAACACGGTATTTGATTAACTTCTCCTCTATTATTGTTATGTGATGATTATGTTACTGCATGCTATGCGACATTTGACAAACTACCATTTTATCAGCTAAGTTACGGCATAATTAGAATTAGTGTCAAAGTGCATCAGGTATAACAAATCTCATGATCTCAATATATAATGACCACTTGATAAACACTTAGGGGGCGTTTGGTTTGTATAATGAAATTTAGTGGAATTGGAATCCATCAATGAATTTGACCACACATTTGGTCGGTAGGATTTGGAATGGAATCTCTTAAAAGTATTAAAATCTCTATTAGTGACATGGTGATATTGGTGGTCAGAGATGGGGGTGAGTGGACGGGTGTGGGAGAGGGGGTGAAAGTTGTGATGACGACAATAGTAGCATTGGTGGTGGCACCGCCTACCCACCCACAACACCTCCACCGCACCTCACCACCGCCCCAACCACCTCCATCCCCCCTCTCACCCCGCCCCAAGCTTACGTCAACACCACCCCATCCCCGACCTGAACCAACCATCACTCTCGGTCCTATGCCAAACACCTTACCCATCCACACCCATCGTTGCCCCGCACCCCACCCCAAGCTTATGCCAACATCATCCCACCCCCTATCCTAAGCCCACCCTCATCCGCGCCCCTAGTCCTACCACCAACCGCCCTCAATCCCTACACATCCGCCACCCACCCAACCCCCCTCGTACCCACCATCACCGCCGATCTTATAATGCCCACCCACCACCACCTTTACCCACATCCTACCCCACACTCGTGGCAGAGGATAGTTGTGACAATGACAATCGTGACATGGTGGTCAAGGTGGGATGGTAGTTGTGACAGCAATAATAGTGGCATGGTGGTCGGTGAGGTGGGTTGGTACCAGCTGTGATGACAACAATAGTGACATGGTGGTCGGTGAGAGTGCGTGGCGGGGTGGTAGTTGCGAGGACGATAGTAATGGAAGTGGTTGGGTGGCAAGGTGGTGTGCGTGAGTGACGAGGTGCAGGTGGCATTTATGACGACGACAAAAGTACATGGTGGTTTGTGGCAGGCTGGGGTTGGTGTGGGTGGGTGATGAGATGGGGGTGATAGATGTGACGACGACGGTAGTGGCATGGTGGTCAGTGGTGGGTTAGGGGTTAGGGTGGCGGTTGTAACGGTGACAGTAGTGGTGGGGTTAGGGGTGGGGTCGTGATAGTGACAATAGTTGCATGGTCGTGATGGGGGCAGGGGGTGTTGATGTTTGTTAAAATGGACGCAAAAGGTGTAACATACGTAAAACTGCTTTTATTAGAAGATCTTTTCTGAAATATTTTTGTTGAAAGTCATAGATTATCTTATTACGATCGCATAGGCAAAAACTTCATCGAAAACGGAAGTCCGAGCAAAAAGTTATGATTTTTTTAGTGTTTGGTACTCAAATGGGCCTCAACCAAGCCAAATTTGGCCCAATTCGGGTTTAAGTGACAAAATGGACTAAAATTGATATTTTTTTCCCCAAATCACTTCTAAAACCCTCATACACACTCAAGGTGCGATTTTCACACACATAAGCCCAAATGTATTCAATTCTTGAAGAATCAAAGCTCAAATGGATGAATTCTTGATGTTTATTTGAAGATTATTGAAGGTATGCTTCTAATGCTAAGTTTAATCTTTATAATTAGTGTTAATTAAGGATATTAGGGTTTGCATGTTTGTGATTAGTGGTTAATTTTGTAAGTTAATGTTATTATGAAGTTTGGAATTGAATTATAAGGAATTGATCATGGTATTGCAAGATTATTGATGAATTGAGTTAGTAAGGTTCATTGACAGCTTTGATTTATAAAATTTATATAAAATTGTAGAAAAATCGTATGAATATGATATCAATTTCGTTGGAAAGATGGAAATGTCTAGTTTGTTTTGTATTTAGACATTGGAAGCTGATTTCAACTTTAAGATGGGTAAAAGGTGCAATATGTTCTCAGCTGTAAAGCTGAGTTTTGACAGCTTACTGCTGCTATCTTGTAAAATCTATAATAAATCACACAAAAATTATAAAAAATGTGTGGTCAGTGGCATTAGAAAGATATAAGAATCTATTTTATTTCATCTCTAGAAGTCATTGGATAATTCTGAGTTTAAAAGGGGTTAAAATGGGCATGAACCTGCTGCTGTACAAGGAAATTAAAAGTAGAACTGTCAAATTGAAAAGGGTATATATTGGGATTTGCTTGAGTAATTGCTTATGATATCTGAAATGTATATTCCAGGGATATAATTGAAGGTATTGAAAGCTTGTGGTGGTTCATTTCTACCATTTTGGAAATTGCTCATACCTTGGAGTATTGAGTAGCAATGTAAGTTCGTTCGGGAACATTTTGTATACTATGTGTGCATATGTGTATATATACTTTCCTTATATGCTTGTGCCCCTATTATATATATATATATATATGCTTAGTGGCTGGAATATTATGCCTTAGTGGCTGGAACACTATGCCTTAGTGGCTGTTATGTTATATTATTTATTTACTTAATGTAACACGATCTCATGATATCTTCGATATACGAAATGTTGAAATTGCCATAATCAATTTTTGTTGCCTTGGAGAATATTGATTAATGAGTTTATTGATTCGGAAAGCCTTTGTATAAACATATATGTTACTTGAGTTCGTTCCTGAGATTCCTTTGTGTATGTGTATGTATATGTATACATCATAATATTCAAATGTTTTCCTATGAACTCACTAAGCTTTATGCTTAATCTCTTAGATGTTGATTTTCTTTTACAGGAAGGATATAAAGGAGTAAAGGTCCGATGTAGGATTATCGAGCTCAAAGAAGTTGGTTGATATTTAAAACTCATATTTTGGGTATTTTTTTTTTTGTTTATGTACATGTTTTATATATATAGTATGTAAGGGTAGCTATATGTCCCTTTATCAACGATATTATCTCTTTTAGTGAATAACTTTATATTCCGTTTTGTTTTAGAGTTGTATATTGAATCTAATATTACCTGGTGAAATTAGTTTCCACTTTAGTGTGGTGTTACAAAAGGATGATATTTAATTTATGTCATTATTCCAAAGAATGATGAATTCATTTATTTGTAGAATTCAACAAAATTTAAAGAATTCCATCTATTTCAAGAAATAAACCAAACAAATGAATCAGAATTTGGTTAAAAGAATTTATCATTTTAATTTCATCGAATTCCGTGAACCAAACGATCCCTTAGGTCTTGTTTGGTTTGTATGATTAAGTAGGATGTATAGGGATTTGGAACTGAATGTCATTCTTGGTTTAAAAGATTTCCTGGATTTGAAATCCTACAAATGTATGATTTAGAAATCCCACGGGATGGTTGGTATTTCACGAGATTTCGTAGGATTTGCATGGAACAATGTGTTAGAATGTATTAAAAACATTTGTTTTGTAATAATTAATTATAAAAAATTAATTTAATTATTTTTATAATTATTTATAATTTCTTTTTATAAATTATTTATAAAAAACAAAATTCAATTCAATTTCAAATCCTACAAGTCAAACACATCAATGATTTCAAATATTCCAAAATCCAAATCCGTCTTATTCCAACTCTTTCCACAAAATCCAAATCTCTTAAAATCATTACAACAAACCAAACACGACCTTATAACATTTATATGATTTATATTATATCCAATGTAGTATTCTCATAGCAAGCATATCCTATATAGAGGTTTCCTAACTTTATATTTGTACATGGATCCTATAAATAACATAAATCCCATATAGTTAATTGTTACCATTACATCAACTTAAATAAAAAGTAACACTTGACTATTGAACATGTAATCATCAAGGCCATTACAATCTTTTTGAAGATATTGTTACACATGTATCAAAGATTATAGATTGATGGGATAAGTATAAATAAGACAAAACATAAGAGTTCTATCATATATTATTAAAAATCTTACAAATTAAAACAAGAAAAATGTCTAAAATTACAAAGTAACATATGAAATTCGATTAAATATAATCTTTTAAGTTGGAATAGTATATTGCCTACAAATGGGTAAAAGAGTAAGATCCTGAAACATTATAATTGAGTCTCAAAAATTTTGGAGGCCGTGTTTCATATGTTATATTGAAACAACCTTCTGCAGACCTTGTTAAGCAAACTATTATTCTAGGGTTATTATCATATTTAAACATAATGTTTAACGATGATCCCATGGTTGGGGTTGTAAATAGGACAAAATGGGGTTTAAAAAAGAAAAAGAAAAAACAATTAAAATGCCCGATCCCAATAGATTTAGATCGCCGTCCGAACTGAGATTATAGCTTTTCCATCCCGTTTCATCTGCCACGTGACACATTATTATTGGTCAATGTTATTTTTTTTATAAAACTTATTTGATAAAAAAAATGGCTTTAACAAAAAAATTAAAAATTAAAAAATGCACCAAAATTCGTGATTTTCAATTCCCTACAAATAGTATTGACATATTTTCATCGTACAAATCTTTCTCTTCATTTCAATACTCTTGCAAAAGTTTCAATTTCTTTCTTCGGTCCTGATAATT